ATGTTTTCCATCTCTTTTTACTTCTACTTATTTCTTCCAAAATATATCTTTTATGTAAGAACCTATAGAGTGTATAGAGTTCAAGCTTTTGGATATCTGATCTTTCCTTCCCATCACTTTTAGATAAACAAAGATTTGAGTAGGATGTCTCCAGATATTTACTTTCTCCTGAAATGCAGACACTTATAGCTAACTACCTATAGTTCATCTTGTTGATTGTTTAAAAGATATCTCAAAGTATATTACATAATGTAATTATACCAAAGAGAAATTTCAGTGGCATAATAATGGTATTATGGTAAGGTAGGAAAATGTTTTTAGGATGTACATGTGTTAGGTATTATAGCAACTATGCAAATGTACTTCTCAGATCTTCTATGGAGGAGAACAAAAGTGACTATGCTTCTTTCTCCCCTGTGTGCCTATGCCCTTTCTTCTGTCCTTTATAAAAACACTCATGATTGGATTTAGGATCCACTCAGATAATTAAGGATGATTATGTCTTGAAACTAAATCACATCTATAAAGACCTTTTTTTATTCAAAATAATAGTCATGAGGTCTAGGGATTTTGTAGTGAGCTTAACTTTGGGGTCACCATTCAACACATTGTACTATTCCTATTTCAATAGGGTGTTTAATTTGAAAGTCCAGCAAATCATCAACTTGTGCTATTACACACTGTGGGTGTATATCACAGTGCTATTATAAATTTGTGAGTATTTGTATTTGTGATGTGTGTGCATGTGTTTGTGTGTGTGTGTTGTTGTTCTTTGGTATTTCAAAAGGCAATGTGGAGGAGACATATATGTGTCTGCAATCTAGATATTAAGCATATTTGTGAGATGATATAATCCACTGTTTTTCAGACAAAGATTTTTTCCAAGTTTTCTGCTATCAAGCAGAAAGATTTGTGTAAAATATTATTAAAGAGTTATTGAAGTAGCATAACAAATTAAAATGGATGCAAATGCTAAATAGTCTTTCATTTATTCATTAAATACACATTGCTGGAATGGCTTCTATGGGTCAGGCACCATGCTATCTAGACATAATTAAGGCACATATATTGTTATCAAAAATTTCATAGTTTAGGAGGTTATGAAAGTATGACAGAAAGTAAATGGCTATACATCAAAAGAGAAAGTAGTAAGTATTCAAGGAGAGAATGGAATCAAGTGGCATGGGAGTCAGAAGGAGAGATAAAAGGCAAAAGAAAATGGGCAGGAGGTGGGGTGGGGAATATGTATTTTGATCCTTTAACAAACTAACACAAATGAGTTTGTATGCATTTTTATGTATGTGTAACTACCAGAGTGGTCAAACTGTGTAGATATAAATCAGAAATTATGTAGTAGAAATCCTAATATAGTTGAAGGCATAAAGCTGCAAATAAATTATTTCCATATTTAAATGTGTACATTAAAAATGTTTGAAAATAAACATTTTAGGTGTCACATAATCCATACGATGCATCTAATTGTCTCCACAAAAGGAAAAAACAGAACAATGTAAAATTCTAGAAAGTCTACCAGGCAACAGTGCTGGAAGTTGCTTGCATGTAGCATCTTCGTTGACATTCACTTTGCCTTTGAGGACAGGCACAGGTCTTGAGAAATACTTCAAAGAGTTTTTCTGGCCAGTTATGCTTTGCCAAACTCTCATAGCTTTCTCAAAGTTTTCAAAATTATCAAAAACGAGCATACATCTCCCACACTATTACTCTATCAGGAAAGGACACTGCAAACAGCATGACAGTCTTCAGAATTCTTTATCATGTCACAAAGCAGCTGCATTCAAATCGCAATGCCTCTTCTCAAGTCATAACAAGGCAACACCAACATTAAGATGCAATATTCCACAGATGCTAGTTTTAGCAAGAGCAGTAATAAGTGTCAGAGGGAACATTATCACATGGTAGCGCTTTCAAGTTGAGAATGTGTCTTTTATCAATGTTTGAAAGTAATTCGTTTGACTTCAAATTTATATGCCATCTTGAAAGGGAAAAATGTGGTTTGTTCTTACCTGTACGGTCAGGAATTTTAATTAGTTTTGCTCTTTTTCTCATCTGGAACATATTTTACTCTTATCCATAGTCAGCAACACTTGTCCATTTGCTTGTAGATAGAAGAACAACTACTTGGATTTTCCTAAGTGTTTCTATGAAGTTTAAAGTTTCTTCCCAATATTTAAAACTACCTACAACACTGTTAGCATAGATGCTATTTACTGAGTGACCAGTGTGCAAAAAAATAAAAATAAAAATAACACAGAAACTTCATCAACTTCCTAATTCTTAAAGATTTTAAAACATAATAATGATGATGCAAGCTGTTAATGTGCCTACAGCCAGGTCTGAGAGCTGGGTGTGTGTGAGGAAGTACACATAAGTAATAAGTAGATACACTTACATACTGCTTTGGGAAGTTTCATATTCAAACAGACTTATTGTCCAATCCTTACAAGAGCCTGACAAGATTGTCTTAGAAATTGAGATAATATGTTGAGAGAGGAATCTGAGTCAAAATCTTAAAAAAAAAGCCCTTATCAGCAAACCTGGACCAGAGTTTAAATCTTGTTTTTCTAAATCTTGTTTTTCTAAATCTGCTGTCCTTTTTGGAACACTATGGATTGAATAAGAACCATAGTGTTTAAAATGGAAAGATGATTTTAAACTGAGGAAACTGGTAATCTTCACGAGAAGAGGCTTGGTCAGCTTGCTAAGGGTAAGAGGACTGATTTCACTTGAAAAGCCAACAGGAGTAAATATATAGGCCATGGCATGAAAGGCAGCATATGCTGGCCTAGTCAGGCCCACTGTGCAGCTCTTACATGGACGGCCCTCTTGATCACCAGTCAACACACTGAACTTTTCTGTCCAAATTGGGCAAAATCTTAAAAAATAAGAATAGCATGAAAGTCAGAAAAGGAACAAGCGTCTTGGATTGCTTTGCTTTCTTTCTTCTTTTTTTTTCCCCCTTTCAGCGTAATCCATTCTCCTTAGGATCCTACTCCTAAAAAGGGGATTTTTTAAATCAGGAGCTAAATTAACCTTTTTGAGACATATAATTACATATAATCTTTGGAACCAGAAAGTGTGAACACAATTTCTCAAAGATCTAATGTCTAAAACTGATTTATATCTAAGGTACTTTATTCTTTCATTCACTATTTAAAATCGGGTATACATTCCTTTTTACATGTGATAGAGTATATACTCATACACGCATTTTTTAAAATCATTCTTTGAAGAATGTCTCATTTATGATTCAACTTAACCATCCTTTGTCTCTTATAAGAAACGAAGTAATTAATGTTCCCTTATGCTGACATTTTATTTCCATTATTTATTTCTTTATTGAGAAAACTTTGTGTCAGGTTTATGCTGGATGAATTTTATAGTTACCATATTATTTATTCTTTACTAAAAACACTCATGGTGTAAAAAAAAAAATTAAATCAGTGAATGAATTTCTTTTCCCAAATAACTCATTTAGGTAAAAGACAAGGTTAACATTTGACCCCAAATTCTCTAATTCCCAGTCCTATCACCACTTCACATTCCATAAACACTCTCTAAACTTCAGGTGCCCGGGTTCAGAGCTTCTCCAACTCATCATCTCCTGGAGGCCAGACACTCTAATTGATATCTTCATTTCTCTCCTTGCATGCAGTGTATATGGGTAATCTTTACAGATTATTATTTTTGTCACCATATAGTTAAATAGAAATGTATATACGAATCAAACCAGCAAAAAAAAAATAAGAAAAAAGACACCCACCAAATCCTTTAGATGTTCTACAGTACTTGGTAATACAGAATACAAAGTACTCACAATACTCTGTACAGCCTGTTGACATCTTAAGAATAATAATTGCTTGTTATTTTCACCATGCATGTAAAGCCTCAATAGCTGGTGGAAAACTTGAATAAAATCACTGGGAATCTTTAGGCTTTGTTTCAACTGGTAGATTCATGAGTAACCTGGTCCTATAAAGAAGGTATCATGAAAGATGTCTATGGTTGAACTCTTTAGTCACATATCACATTTTCTATTGACACACTCATTATATTTTCTAAACACTATTAAGGCAATTCATCTTTTCAGGCCTCAAATTAGCTTCTCCTTCAGATTCCATGGGTGCCCTCCACCAGTCCTACCTCACCCTCTCCCCCTTCCCAGGGTTCCCCCTCACTCCTCTTCACTTGGTTCCTTTTCCTTTTTCCTCTCCATGATCCAGTCTTTTCTCCTTAGGCACCAATTTTATGTCTTTAACTTGGTTGTTTTAATATCCTCTTTGATTCCATTAAAAACAATGTTCAAAAAATTCTCAAATTAATATAATATATTAGAAATTTAGGCCACACTTTCTAATTTAACCTTCATTTAGTCATTGTGTGACTCTATCAAAGCATGTGTGAGGGAAATAAATGAGTTTGGAAGCCAAATAAACATGGATTCTAATCATAATTCTAACACTTTTACCACATGTGTGGCTTTAAGACAATTATTTTAAGTTTTTCAGCCTCAATTCTTCAGCTGTCAAGATGAACTATTAATACCTATTAGTAAGGCAACTGCGAAGACTAAGTGAGATGAAGAATTCCAAGTACCTTGCTGTGTTAGATTAAGGAAGTTACTATACCTTTCTGTGATTCAATTTACCCATGTATAAAGTGGTATAATTATACCTACCTCATTGAATTTCTTAATCTGCTATAATTTGTATAAGTCCCAGGAAGTGAAACATATATAGTAACTTAAGAATAGTTTTAATCTACCTGGAAAAAAATTATATATATATATATATATATATATATATATATATATATATATATATATAATTATATATGTATGATATATATATGTATTAAATGTATAAATATATATGATGTATATATGTATATACATGATATACATATGTAATATATAATATAATATTGTCATATATAATCTCATTTCTTTATCTATATAAATATATAAATTTATTTATATTTATATATACATACATATGTGCATAAAGATGATTAAAAACATATACTGTTTATCAAATACATAGAATTGGACATAGTATTCTATTCCTTCAGTCTGAAAGTCACTGCTGTGGCCCAGAGCTAAGCTTTTTCTTGAAGCATGTCTGGGAATTAGTTGGTCAGGAGGGGCAGAAAAAAGATTAAATGATGTGTGCAGAGCTTCAGGCAGAGGGGCTTGACTTATGCACAACGTGGATGATTAGAGGAATAGAGTAGGGAGTATTTACCTAGCTCATTTTCTTATCTTTACTGGAAAGGTGAATTTATTGGAAAGCTCTGTCTGCACAATATCCAACTACAATATATATATAGTTGAAGTCAAATAAATATTACTCAAATACTTTTGTTGAAACAATATTGACTATATAGAAAACATGTCTGGAATAAAACTAAAATGGAAAAAAATGGAGGTTTTAAGTTCCAGAGACTGATTTTGAGTCACAAATTTTTGTATTTACAGAAAATATGAAATAACGATTTGGTCAGAATGACTACAGAATGTAATTCGACATTATTTTATTTTTATTTTTTTAAAGAGAGAAAGAGAGAAAGAAAGAGAGAGAGAAAAAAAATTTAGTATTTATTTTTCAGTTTTTGGTGGACACAACATCTTTATTTTATTTTATATGGTGCTGAGGACCAAACCCAGCGCCCCGCGCACGCCAGGTGAGTGAGTTACCACTTGAGCTACATCCCCAGCCTCAATTCAACATTATTTAGGAAAAGTTGCTGCTGAATATAACCTCTGCATAAAATATTGGCGGTCTCACTCTTTCTTGTTTTTTTTTTTTTTTTATCTTGTAAAGAAGGCAGTGTTAATTCAATAAGAGTTTACTGGTCATCAACAATTCCCCTGTCTCAGGGTTCTTGTTCCTGGGTCAGGGAGGCTTATAATCTTATTGGGTACAACAAGTGCTATGAAAACCAGGATAAGAAGTCACTGAGCAGGGTCCTGAGAAATGGGGATGTTTATTTAGAGAAAAATTTGAAAGTGAATTCAAACCTGAAGGAGACAACTAAATAAAGGGAAGGAGAGAAACAAGAAGAGGCAGGTGGTGGGGGAAGGGGGATGGATTCTGAGAACAGTCACACAACATTGACAGAAATTTAGAGCTAAAATAGCCCTAAACCGTCATGGTTGATAACTTACATTCCTGTGACTAATACATCTACCCACAGGGATAGACTATCTAGTGTATGGGAAAAAAATCAACAGCTCCTCTTCTTAGCAATTGAAGAGGTGCTGAGTGGTTCAGTGAGTTTCTATAAAAAATAAATTTGTTCATTTCTTTTGAATTTTCAAAGTGTCCTTGATGGAAAGCATGTGGGACTAAGTACATTCTTAACCTGTCCTTTTGCAGAGACATGGGTATTAAGTCTCCCTGTGTTCACTATGGGGGTGTGGAGGTACCATAGTAAAAGCCATAGGTTCAGATTAGTCCAGTGGGTAAGCAATTTTCTTTCCTGAAGTACCTACTAATCCCTACTTCCCAAAGAACTGTGTACAAATTCCCCTGAAGCCAGACATTTTAAAACAGTTATTTGTGGCTCTTTCTGAGACGTTAGAAGGAGATACTCCTTAGAGGTCAAACTCAGCAGGATGAAATCCTCTGCATGTCAGAGATAGAGTCTCCTGCCTGGTTGTCTTGAAATTAGTTGCCCACGTCCAAGGCTGCTTTACTTAATACAGAAAACCTTATTTGTAGATAAAGCTCAGCTCTCTTCCCAGCTGCTATTTTTAAGCTCAACTCTCCTCTGTTCAACTCATGTACACCTACTTCAAGGCCTTTTCATAGGAAACTAGATACACAAAATGTCAATGGTGTCTAAGACACCAAACACAAAATTTTTCTTGTCTTCATTTTCCATACATTTCTTCTATTATTCTCTCCTCTCTCTGGCCTTGTTTCTTCCACCTCCTTCTCGCTTTACTTTTAGTGGTCTTAGGTTTCATTTTAGCATGCCAACACAGAAGTTGTGAATAGAACTTTTATGCCTACGTGTTGTGTAGGTGCTCAGAAGGTCAGTGGCAAGTTGCTACGGTATTAGTCTTGGATCTAGTTTCCTAAATGTTGGTAAGAAGAATCTTGTGACAAGGGCACACCCCCTAGTTGTCATTTGTGGGATCTGTATCTCCAGATTTAAGATAAACTAGAGACATGTTTGGATCCTCAGAGTTCAGGGAAAATGCAGCATGTGATGCAGGGAAAAGAATAATTATTAATAAAGAGAGCTATTAGGTGGCATTGGAAAAAACTAAGCTTTTCAAATGTTTCCTTCATAGAATAAGAGATCATTTAAAATCTCAATTATCCTTTCCAAGTTTAACATATCACCTGTTCTATATCCTGTTTGTCCAGCCCTATCTCCTATTTGTCCCAGTCTTCCAAATTTCTGTCACAAACACTTTCATATAATTTTCCCAACTGCCCTTTTTTTTTTTTTGGTAACACTTGAGTTCTTGCCCCACATGTAAATGTCCATTGCAGGGCTTACATGAATAGCAGGGTTTGCATGGGGACAATTATTATCTTTAATATTTCCAAAACTGAGTATTCAGAAAAATGGTTAGGAAACTGTATTTATTGTGGTATTGAAAGAAAAAAATCTGGAAACTTCTTTGATTCTTTTGGTACAGAAGCTATGTTTTAGCAATCAGACTAGTAAATTATTACTTTCACATATATGGATGTCATATATCTTTTGCTATTTTCTTCATTCTCCACAGTTTTGACCATGTACTCTGGAGTGGGGGGCAATTCCCCCATGCTGTTTCCCTGTGACTGTGACCCTAAGTCTAGGTTGCACAACTACCTTTCTAAAGAGAAAAGCCTCTGCTCATTTGTAATCCCAATGCATTAGAAAAATGTTAGATCTTGTGAAGAAATTATAGTCCATTTGATGTTTTCTAATATACTTCCTCCCTTTCTCAATTTTAAATTAAAATAAAATGAATCATATATAATGAATGCACAGCTGTCATCTTTTGTGATATTACCTTGATTGTTACTTCAGCATTGAAGAATGTTCCATTTTGTAATTTGCATACCTAAAATTCTTGATAAGATTATACCCTATGAAGATGCGTTGGAAATAACTGTAGCCGTATATAGAAATGGAAATGATACTAAGTTTTTGACACTAGAGTGCTTACTCATAGAAACCACACAATCAATAGCATGTGTTTGTGCTTAGATTTATTCAGTCATTATCACTCCTCCACTTGCCTTTCATGTGCTGAGCAAATATTAAGTGAAGAGTATGAGTTTTTTTACATTACTCTCAATAAGTGGGTTTAACCACAATACAAATCTTATAATCTACCTCTTCAATCTCACTGGCAATGGGACAAATCCAGCAGCTTTAGAGGTAAGCTTTCAAATATACTTCTACTGACAGACTGAAGTTTGTTTTAGGAAAAGTCAAGGCTCTACAATCCTTTGCATTTATTGGAATTTTCTGTTTCCATGGTTTCCAAGAGTTCAATGAAATTAGGCTTTCACTGTTTAGAAGTTCATGATATGAGGATTTGGTAAACTTCTTCTCTCTTGCCTAGATTATACTTAAATCTGTATATTGCTGTTCCTGGATGAGTTTGGGGGCTATTGCTTTGGTAATCTGGCTCTTCCCCTTTAAGCCTTTTCTTAAAAACAAAGGGAAGATAGATCAGTCTAATGAAACTAAACTAGGGTAAGATTTTGCCATTATGTTTTTAAAACGTACAGTTTTAAAAAAAATTTTTTATTGAAGAATTGTCAACTGATTATGAATCATTCGAACACTTTAGGTAAATTTTCAATACAGGCAATTAAAATGAAAAGACTCCTTCAAAAGGATTAATAGGAAAACCTAGGCTTGGGGCTCTAGAACCTTTAACAAGGAGGGGTTGTCCTGATAAAATAAGATCTAAAGAATAGACTTCTAGAGACTTTACTTATCTCACAAAAGAATAACAAAAAGTCTTTTGGACATGTTAGGAGTTCTGGAATAGTCTATGTTGAGGCCCAAGGAACATACAAGGAGGTTTCTAGAATGTGGGGAGGAGAACTTATTTGACTATGAAGGAAAATATATGGTTTCTGACTTTACGTTGTAATTGTTATCAGGTTTCTATGAATATCAAAGAAACACATTGTGTGAGAGCGCCTAGTACCTGCTAAGAGTCCAGTCCATATACAACATGCATGAATAATAAATTGTCAATAAGGTCCCTGAGCCCAAACAAGCCTCTTCATTATCTTGGGGCCCAAACCCAAGATACCCAGCAGTTACCCCTTATGAAGGTAATGACTTTTGGATCCACAGTTATTATCTAAACATGTAGGAAGGAGAGATATAGATAGATAGCTGATAGATGATAGATAGAAAGAGAGACAGACAGATAATAGGTAGACAGACAGATGAATAAAGTTAGAGCCAGAAAGAGACCCAACAAAAGCATATGGGAATATACCCATGACTACCAGGAGCTGATCTCAATGACTCTAAATTTTTTTTTTCAGTAAAGGATACAAAGCTCCAAAGTAAGTAGGTGCGAATTGCACACACCTCGCATGTTTAGCCAGCACCCTGAATTACACTTAAAAAGCACTGGAAGCAGTCCAAGGTATGGAGGTCCCCTACTGAGGGATCCTATTGAGTTTGGCAGTGGCAAAGGTTCAGGAGGGAACAATGTAACTGCCATGCTGAAGGTCACCAAGGCATACTCCCCATTGAGAGGCCTGTACTAGGAAGAGCGTCCTGAGCCATCATGCAGCTCCGCTGGCAAAAGTAGCAGCCTACAGATCCAGGACTCCTCAGCTTCGGGTCTGAATGATTGCTTGTCAGGCAGATGTGTTTGTAAACTAATGACTTTCACAGTGTGAAGAGATTGAAAATGAAGCCTAATTGCTTCCACTGATTTAACCCTTGGAATGCTTCCAGGCATGCCGATAGCCATGTGTCTTTAATCATGTGAGTTAATCACCTTCAGGGATACATCAGAAAACAGTGGCTTATAGCAAGTCTGGGAAACACTGCAGTTGTGTTATTAGGTTTACACTACTGGGCTGTCATCTCCTTAAATAAGGACACTGAGAGGTTGGCCATGGTGCCCTTAAACCAGTGTTTGTTAGTAGCAACTGACACAATTACATGGCTCTATAATTCAGAAAAAAATGAATTAATATTTATGCATTTTTAATGACTTAAAAAACTCCTAATGGTAGTTGAGTGAGAGTAACAAGTCACTTTGATCCTTCTATGGCCACCATGTACTTCAGTCCAGCTCTGGAAGAAAATCAGAATTGGAAAATGGTCTAATCATGAGGCCAGTCTGATTAATACTGACAATTAGCATTGGACTACAGTGTATAACCAACTGATTATGAATCATTTGAGCACTTTAGGTAAATTTTCAATACAGGCAATTAAAATGAAAAGACTCATGATCCTTACATAATGACTTCATTAAATTAATTCAGTTCTGATTGGAAAAAATTTTCTTTTAAAGAAGGGAACCAGCAGAATTTAACTTCCATTCACTTTTGGTTAAAAGAAAACTGGAGGAAACACTTAAAAGATTTAACACACACATACACACACTACATTGCAAACAGCTTATTCTTTTTTGAAAGTGAACTGTGTTGCAGAGGAAGAAAGAACTGAAGGTCAGAGCATGGATTCTATTTGCATGGCTTATTTGGATGAAGTAAATCTTGCCCTCAGTTATATTTTGTATTCAGCTGAGAGCATACATTGTTAAGGTTAAAAGAACTTTATTGCGGAATAATCTGTGAGGAACAGACACTTCAAAGAGATAAATACTTACTTCGGTTACATAAACAATTGACTCAAATCATTTGCTTCATGGTAAAAGACAAAGCTGGAGCCACATCCAAATACTGTGGTATCATTTCAGTCAGAGGAACAAAGATCCATTTATGTGAAATGCAGTCACTCAATCAAAGCAGCAATAGTTTTGTAAAATTGGACAATGGGAATGGAAGCAGAAGATAACTCTTGAGGACTGAGAGAGGGTTGAAATATTCAATGATACAATCAGTTTCCATTATAAGTTTTGAATCAGAAAATCAATTTTATTCTGATTCATCCTATAACACTTAACATATATGTGGTTTTATAGTTTACAAAGTACATTTTTATCTAAATTACACAAATATTCTATAAGCTAGGTCTTATGTGTATTCATAATAGCCAATACCTACAAGCAGTTGAGAACTTATAAGACTCTGTTACCTTTTGATTTGCTTCATTCCTCTCACAATGTTTAAAGGCAAGAGAAAGTTCTCAGATAGTTAAAGTATTATAATTTGTCTAAAATCACAGGTCTAGTGATAGCCATAAAAAAACTAGGTTTTGAGCACCGTCCTCTGACTCTTGTTGTTTTTTCTAGAAACTATCTCCTGTCCCTCCCATTTCTTAAAAGCATTTCTTCTACTTATTTAGTAATCTTTTTTTCAGAACTGATTCTTAACTTCACTGCACTCTTTACTAGGTGTCTTGAAGTGAAAACCACATTAAATTCTAGATTATATCTGATGATCTTTTTTTCCTTTTACTTTACATTTTCTTTCCAAATCAGACTGCTCTCTCAAAACATGCACTGCAGTTTCTAGCACAGAACTTAACCTTTTCAGCAGAGAGTAAACTGTACCTGTAACTGAGCTCACATCTCAGCCCAAGCTCTACTATTTGAAGGCAAGAAGTCAAGGAGAATAAGGGATAAGTGAAAACATGTAGAATGTAAGGATTCATTCACCTCCTGACATTGGTGAGCTCCTTCTAACATATCATTTCTCCTGCCAAGCATGAAGGCAGCTGTGAAGCCTTCCCAGCTATTGAGGTGGTAAGACTGACCAAGCATACTCATCAGCTAAGCAACTTTCTTCTGGGCTTAAGCCTCATGTGACACAAGAAAATTACAAGTCAGTGAACAATATGGATTTTGGGAATCATGCTCGCTTAGATGAAATGGAAATGTTAAATCCAGAAACTTAAAAAATTACTAGAAGAAAAGAGTGCTTGTCTATCTTCACCAAACTAGCTGCTTTGTAGAGAGATGCCTCAGTGACACCTTAAAGATGCTTCTCTTTAGAAGCAGTGTGTATGCATGAGCGCATGTGCACAGCCTATGTGTACGTGTTCGTATATATTTCAGGATGGTTTCACCATTTCCCTTCTTCCTTTCAATGGAACTTGTTTCTTCTCATCTCTTGCCCCTTAACTTCTCCTTGGTTTCTTGTCCCCAGATAGTAGGACTTAGGCTGAAGTGCTAGCTCAATCAAATACTGACAGGTTTGCTTATCTGTCAGATTCAAATCAAAAGGGTCTGACACCCAGGACTGTTTCCACCAAATGTTATCATGTGCATGAAGGTGCTCTGTAGTGTAGATGTAACACAGACTGCTTCTCTCCAGATCTTACATAAAATAATGCAGATGAAAAAACGAGCCTTGGAGGTGGTCTTTTGGGGGAAAGAAGTCTCGGAATTCCCATCACCTTTCTTTTATTTCTCTCTTCAGATCCCGATGAGTCTCCTAGGCACTGGCACTCTGTGTGTCTGGCCCACGTTGCAGGTCAGATCTCAAGTTCCCTGTTGGCAGTGTCTCTGCTTCATTCACCTACACATTCCTTATAAAGACTATGACACATAGCTAGGTTCTAGAAGGGAGAAAGTTTAGTCTTTGCCTGGGGCAAAACAGATATATTAGATCTCTTTTCATTTAGCTTTCTGATATCAGCTTCCTTACCTTACAGTCAGACATTGAAAAGAGGTGTTCTTGGCACTAGCAAATAGGCCTTCCTTCAGCCAGTCAGAATTTCTGGAATTTTTGTTCATGCATCTAATTGTAGCAATCTTCAGGCTAACTGTAGCTCCTTCTCAAGGTCAGGTTGATGTGGGAGTCAGTTTCTCCTAAAACGTGTAGATTGTACAGTGAAATTTTAATCCTGGTTCCACTTCTTACCAGCTGCAACACTGACCTCAAGATTAAATTTCTCTGAACCTCACTTATCCATCTGTCATATCCATTATACAGCGACTATATAAATAATGGAAAAATGTTGAAATGCCCAGGCCTACCTACAAGAACCTTCCAGTCACTATTTACTCCCTTCCTCTCTTTCTTTTATTGCCCCTCATTCCCACAATTGTCACTCTTCACAAACCTTTCAGTTTATAATATCTTTTAGTTACAAACTCTTGAACTCATCACTAACAATATTTTCACTTCTATTGTCCTAGTTGGCTTCAACTCTGAGCTCCTCCCCTTCCCTGGGTATTCTAACCATGACGTCAATGTCACTGACCCTTTGGATGTCCTCTCCAACTCCAAAGATAGACTCTGAATGTGATATCCATGGAGGTCTGACCTTACAGCTGATTAGCGCAGATTCTGTTCCTTCACCCCTGTTGTCCTCCTCCAGTTGCTTCACACGAGAAAAGAAGTATGGTTTAGCACTAACTGAAAAAAATAAATGAAAGGAAGAATATTGGAGGTAGTTCTAAAAATTAATGTTTTATTGTTAACTGAGTGGTTAGAGAGGAGGAGGACTAATTCAATAGCCTATCTTGAAGTAAAATTAGGAAATTTCACTTTATTCTACTACTTCCAAATGTGTTTTCATTCTATAAGGTCATCCTCATAGCATCCTTTTTGATGTTTGACAACACTTACCTCTATGAACTTACAGTGTCTAGTATTCCTAAATTGTTAGTGTATCCCTTATTTTCTCCGATCTGCTATTGTTTATTAAACATAAGAGTTCACCTTGAGTGTGTTTTCAAAATGATAAATTTTATAGTTAATTACTTGAGAGTGCCATCTTGCCAAGCATAACTTTGACTTTCATCAAGTTCTGTAGCCTCCTAAGTTAGCTGCTCTCCTTTTCATAAATGTCCCCAGGTTTTCTGGTAAGAAAACTCTTTCTAATTAAATATATCTTTTTTATAGTTAAGAAGCCCAGACTAGAAATATTGAAGATGACCACTGTGTTTTGGTTCTCTGTAATAATGCTCTGTATCTAAACTGTCCATAATTCAATATCTTTTCTAATTTTTACTCTACCTTTCTACTTCATCTTTTGTTAATTAGAGCCTAAAATTATTCTTGAGTATCAGTACCTCTGCTTTTGAAGCATTATCCAATACCACTTTCATTCAAATATAGTCCCAATATTTTGTAGCACATATTCTCCAATTTAACAAGCACATTCTTAAAATTCCTCTTATATACACATGCCTTCCCATCACTTACCATTTGCCAAAATCTTTTCCCAACCTGGAATTCTTTTCTCCTTTGTCTCTTCCTGCCTCACCTCCTCACTACCCAAGCCCAGCCTTTGCTACCCAAGTCCAAGCCCAGTCTTTGCCTGTCTTATTCACCATTATACCCCGTGTGTAGGAAATTTTCTGGCACATGACAAGTTCTCAGCACATATGTATAAACTCAATAATTGACTGTCCTTCAAAACCTACTTCAAAGCTTATCCATTTCTTATCTATGCTATTTTCTTTGAAAATATTCATTTTTGTTTTCACTAGCAGATTTTGAAGTCTTGAAAAAAGGAATCCGTACCTTGTATTACTTTGCATCTCTCAGAGCAGTGTAATAAAATGAGGGAAGTAAATACCAGGCTTGAGGGGTGAGGTTACACAGATATGATTTAGAAAGCATATATAATAGTCACCTGCTATTGGTCAGGAACTGTTCCAAAATCTGAGATGATAATCACTGGACTCTAGATACACATTGTCACTACCTTTATAGCTTGTGTTGATATATTTAAATTCTCTGAGTTTTAGGCTCCTTCTCCAGAAACTAAGAGAATTAAAGTAGGTTAGCTCTAATGTCTTTTCCAATTTCTGTTCTCTGAAATTTAAATATTTATTTAGATATTGATGAGTGGCATTCAGTAAGTACTTAATGATTCAATAATACAGTCTTTACCCCTAAAATCTCTGATTATTGTCTAAAATAATAGGGTCTATTTTCAGTTGCTTTTAATGTGTTTATCTATTCAACAAATGTTTGTTGAATATTCCTATATGAGAAGCAGGGTAATCAAAATGCTATAGATACACATCAATGAACAAGACACCATCCCTAAATTATTCTTGAGTATCAGTACATATTCCCTGCACTCTGAGACACTGCTTCTCATATCATAATGAGATGGCTAATCCAGTGACCAAATGTAATTAAATTTCTTTCATAGAAGAAAAGGAATTTTGTTAAACATCTCACCCCAAATCTAGCTAGCTGTTGTCATCATATCTACTAACCTATTACTTACATTGGAAGAAGTTTAAAAGAAATTATAAAGCAAAATATGCCCTAGAAGTACAACTTACTTGAGACTTCTCTAAGTCAATGGTTTTAAGGCTGGTCTAAATGGACACTATATTAGAAAAGGATAGGGGACAGTATTAAGCAGAGTTTCAGTGATCCATTCCCTATATTTAACTAGAACAGCTCCATTTGCAAACTTTTTTATGGAAAAATTTATGCTGCTAATGGAAAGTTTTGATGACTGCTGTTCTAGTTTACTATTTGGAATTAACAACAAAATAATAGATTTGTGTATAATTTAATATGACTGATGAATCTATGCTCAGTATGTATTTTAATGTAGGTGAAATGTAAGACAGTTATCCCTTGTGAGGCCAAGGGATCATGATATTGAAACTCTCCCAAATCCTTCAAGGAATCTAGTGAAATGGCATTTAAATATATTTTACTGTTGCATTTGGACTTCCAGAGAGCTCCTGGTACTGTATATTTCTTGGTGATGGCAGTTTCATATTCATTACACTTACCAATGTATAATTTTGTGTTTAAAGATAGCATCTTGGGGGTCACAGTTTTGACATCCTTGAATAAATACTCATACACTGTGCTACTCCAAGCAAAGTGTCTTTGCACACCCTTTCAATTTTCAGTAGTTGAAAAGCAGATTAAGTCTATATTCCAAAGATAAAATTCATTAACAATATAAGTTCAAAAGTAACTTTCTTATAAAGCTCAATGCCAGAAAGCATTTTATAAATTATTTAATATTATCTCTGACTTACCAAGGACTGAAAAAAATTAGTATTTTCCATATTTGGTTATGAAGCAAAAAGATTAAGGAGAGAGGAAGACTATGCAATTTATACAAAATAAATAGAGTGTAGCCTGTCTGTATTGCGGGAAATTTAGTACAGATCTCCTAATACTAAAATGACTCATTTACATGCCAAATGTAAAATAATCATCAAAGACATTTGATAAGAAATAATCACCATATGGTTGTTCATAAGATATTACACAATCCAATTCACTAATATGTGGGAGTAATGACCTCTCCTTGGCCAGTCCTAGCTTTGATTTACTTCTTGACAATGATACTTCCCCCATCCAGCTTTATAGAGATATACTTGACAAACAAAAATTATATATATTTACAATGTACAATGTGATGTTGTGACACATGTATACATTATGAAATAATTACAAGTTGAGCTAATTAATAGATCCATGCACCACATATAGTTACTTGTTTTCCTGTAGTGAAAGCATTTAAGATTAATTGTGACCCTCTTCCTAATATTCGTGAACTCAAGGTTGGAAGGAAGACTCTGATACCTTTGTACCTTTTATTCCTCAAAATCTTAAAATGTGGTTTAGCTGGCATTATGTCACAAGACTTTGAAACACTCAATTGTCCTGAGATTGTAGCTAGAATGTTTTGTCCAAGATATTTTCCATAGAATCCTATTATGTCAGCTGCAGGCCCTGTCTCAAACCATCCTTGTATCTTGGTCTCCTAGAAGCTGTTTCTCCTGACCCAGCTCTGAAGACTGGTCATGTTTTTTACTTTTTGTCTATAGCCGCAGTTGTGTTAGCCTAAAGGAGCTGCAAAAATTATCTTTAGCTAATGCGTTTTTTTTTTACAAGTATAGACAGCTTATCTAAAGTAGGAATGCATTATACATTCAATGTTAGAGTGTACTGACATTTTGTAAATATCTCTTTTGAATTAGCAAAACTAAGAAAATTGGGGGTAGCTTTTGGGGCACATTTAGTTTCTGGGGTGAATAAATGATGACCAATGTTCTCTTCTTATGGAATCAAGTCAGGTTAAGAATTAGTAAAACTTACTTAAAATCTGCTTTTTTTTTTCCCTAGCCATAGCATTCTTCTCTATGAGGATGGGCATGCAGTGGTAGCAGATTTTGGAGGTGAGATTTCCAGCAATATTCCAAATGAAATCAGTTTCTCTTTTCATTCCTACTTGGTGCCAAATATTGTGCAAAAAAATCTGAAAATTGATTTTACAATCACAGATATACTTATCTAAGTTATTCAAATTTCAATGACACTGAATTTTGAAAATATATCATTTGTTCTTGATCTTTCCTCTTTGATATCTCCAGGCAAGAGAAAGGAAGTGAGAATTTGAATATGACAAAGGCTTCCTGAGGTTTCAGAATTTTAGCTCTGATCTTTGACCTTGGTTTTAAGATATTTCTGTTGACATGAATCTGTTTTCTCTTTCTTTCAGAATCAAGATTTCTACAGTCTGTGGATGAAGACAACATGACAAAACAACCTGGGGTTTGCTGCTGCTTTTGTTCCCTATAATTATAAAACAATTAAAATGTGTAAACTCAGCATGAGAGGGAGAAGATGAGAGCAGCTTTCAGTGGATACAAAAAAGTCATTGTCTTAGTGCAGGATAATGTTTTATGTTTTTATTTTCAGAAAAACCCCAAAATAACTATTCCAAGACTCTTCTAGAGAAATGGATAGGATATATGTTTGGAAAATATTATAGATTAAACAATAGAAATATGTTTCAAATAAAGCTGATAAGTAATATGGATAATTGACTTTCATATTGAGGTTACAATATTAAGTGGTAGAGTTAACATTTTAACAGATAACTAACTCTACACTTAGTCATTCACCAACATCTATTAACTATTCAGAGTTATCTACTTTATAAGGTAAGAGCTGGTGTAGCTAAATCAATGATAAAGCAAAATATAAATCATAGCATCGAAAGCAAAGTTAATTATACTCAAAATGCCTGCAAATAAATTCATCACCTGCCCTCTCCTTCATCGCCCCAATTCTTTCCCCAAGAATAAATACACTTTCCTTTCTGAATTACCTCTGATATCTACTTACCCAAATTTTGAGTAATAGCTCATCCTTTCCCTTACTGCTTTAACCTGCACAGAACTGAGTAATTTTATTTTTATTCTTTCTTCCCCACCCCCGCTGAGTTTTAAGTTTTTTATTTTCCCAAATTTCTTCTTACTGCCTCAGTTCGGATTCTCATCATCCCTTTTCTGAACTCTTATGATAGACTTCTAACTCCAACCTTCTCTTCCAGTTCATTATTTCCCACATCACTTAAGTTTTGCTGTTCTAGCATTTCCCATACTACTATAATGTCTCAATAATGTACCATTGACTACAGGCTAAAATTCAAATTTCTTTCACTGACAGTTTCCTGCTGCCCCCTTTTTGGTCCCAGGGCCACAGTTTGACCTTCTTTTCCACCACAAGTTGTTTCAGAGGCTCCTGTGCCCTGGCACAGATGCCACATGGCCATTTCCCAAGCATTCCATTTATTTTCATACCCCTGTAGCCCTGCCAGTATGGTGTCCTTTGGCTGGAAAATCCTTTGTTGTCCTGCACCTGGGAGAAGACTGTTTAGCTCAGGCAGATTTTACCCATTTTATGAAAATTCTTTTCTATAACCTGCACCTCCCCATCTTTTCTTTCTAGGCTTTTGATACACTTTGACCTGTTAGTTTTCACTCTTATTCACTCACCGAACATTTTATTGAGAGCCTACAATGTGTAAGGAATTGTTCAGGAGCAAGGAATGAAAGATGTGAGTAAAATATTAGTTCTTGACCCCAAGGAAGAGCTCATTTTCTATTGGGGAAAAACAGTAATGAGCAGATCAGTTCAAAATAAAGTGGAAGTTCAGTGATAGAGACATCACACAGCACCATGAGAGTCAGGTAAGATGAATAGTGGTAATCAGATGATGGAGAGGATGGAAGGTCCTACCAGATAGAGTGAAGAGCATGAGCAAAGATACAAGGAAGAATGAAAAAGCAAAGTTTTGGAAAGTACTTCAAAGAGCTTGGCATTATTGACATGTACACCATGAAGAGAGGAAGATGAGTTAGAGTTAGGCAGGAACTACATTGTTGATGATGTTGTAAAAATACAGCTATACATACTGATTTCTCCAGTGCAACAGTCAGTGTTCTATTGCTCCTGCAAAATGTATGAGTCTGAGAATTTTATTTGAAAAAAAAAAGATTGTTTAGCTCATAGTTCTGGAGGCTGAAAGTCCAGACAGCATAGTGCCAATTTTAGTGAGGACTCCCCTAACAGGGAGCCAGAAAGTGGGGAGGTCAGGTATTTGTTTGTGTTTGTGGTTTTTTTTTTTTTTAATAACAACAGTTCTCATGAGAACTAATCAGGGTCTCATGAGAACTACAATAAGCTTTTTTCAATCAGGTAGGTAGCAGTCCAAAATGACCTCATTATTTGCATCAAGCTTCACCTCATAAAGGTTCCACTACCTTCCACATCATCATTCTTAAGGACCAAGGTTCTAACAAATGAACCCTTGAGAGACACACTCAAACCACACATCGAATTAGATTAACTCATTCATTCAACAAATATCTTGGGAGCATCTACTATATTCTCCTAGGAACTGGGGACATTATAGTGATTGTTTCTTTTTCCTATGGAGCTAATATTCCACTGTGGGAAGAGAAACAATGAACAAATTAACAAAATATATATTAGGTGATAATAAGTACCTTGAAGAAACAAATAACAGCAGAGTAAATGAATGGAAAGTAATGGAGATGCCATTTAAATAGGCAGAGAGAAATATAACATTTTATGAGTCCTGATAAAGAGGTCTCCCTTGGGAGAAAGAACATTGCTGATAGGGAAAAGAAAAGCAGGTGCAAAGGTTCTGAAACAGGAGAGTTCTTGGTGTATTCAAAGCTAGAGTGGTTGGAGTGGGGTAAGCATGGAGGAATATAGTAGAATATGAAGTAAGGAAGGTGGGAAAAGTGAGTCCTCTTTCACAAGACAAACTTAACTAGTACCTGAGACATAGAGGCAGCTACATCCATGGGTCTCGACTGTGGCTGCCCATCAGTTTAGAAGCTTTTTGAAGAACATAATGCCTGAATCTAACCCATAGAAATTATGATTAGTCATATTTTATTTAATGGTATTTATCTTGGGTATTTGTATTTTTTTAGAGTTCCTCCAAATGATTCTACAATGCAGCCAGTAGAGACTCTCTGAATGAATAAACTTTTGTTGAATAGAATTAAATTGAATTTCACCAACAGCAAGAAATATTATTTTTTTTTATCCTGGCAGCACAGTCTTTAAGCATAGCATCACTCTGCATTTATTTTAGAGGCTGTTTTATTTCTTACTAGTTATGTGGCCTTATTTAAGTTTCCTAATTATTCTATGATCCCCCTATGCAAAAACAGGCATGCTATATGCCTACTCCCACTTATGCAATGTTGTGACACAATGTATAATCTACTATATAAATGGAGGCTATTTGGAATGTGAAAGCTCATGTGGGAGAATTGCATGTGAGCAACATAATCAGAACAAAGATATTCTTGGAAAGCTATAATTATGCATGATTTCCAAATAAGGTAGACATTTCAAAAGAATTATCAGCAGCCAGTACTGCACATAGAATTTCAGTAAGAATAATAAAATAACACCAGCTTTCTTCAGTGGAAATACAAAGGTGTTTGGCAAAATTCATATTGATATATTAGGGAGTCTTAAGATTTAATGGCTGGAAGAGCAAGGGTCTGACTTATCTTTTTTTTTTCCTTGAGGAATCTAAGGTCCAGAAAAAATGATGGATTTGTCCACAGCTGCCTTGTCAGTGCTCAAACAAAAACTAGAATTTTCATCTCCTAATTCAAAATCTAGAGTTGCATCCTAAGTGACAAATAAACCGAATTTATGCATTTGCTACCCAGAATGGAAACATATTTTTTAAACTATAATCGCAAATAAAAGGAATGTAAACAACACCATTAAAACAGATGAGGCTACAACTTCTTACAAAGAAAATTGTAACATTTTATGGACTTCTTTTCTCAAATATTCCTCAACTGGAATTCAGAAATAACACATCTAGTCAAACAAAGGAAATATGATAGACTTGATCCTGCTAGTTGGAAATCGTCTTCAAGTACAATATTCTGGCACAACTCTGGCCGTTTCTCTCCTTAACCACGGAGACTATGTGTGGGCCTAATTTATAGACTTCCTAAATTACAACCTAAAGGCCTGATTAGGGAAGGTGCCTTCGGAAGCCCTATGGTTGAATATTCTGAAGCTTTCATCCAGGAGAGAGATGATCAGAGGTTGTAAGTAGAAAAAAAAAAGTGTGGATGCTGTGATAATCATTTTATGAGCCTATTACTTGATGAATTATATTGATGACTTTTTGGAAAAATTATTAATTTTATGGTCTTCTAGTGACTGGGCAAAAAAAAAATGCCCTGTATATCAGGAGAATGCTTAGCAAGTCCTCACAAAAAAGGACCCTGCTCGTCAGCTGAGAAACTAAGCCCTTGGTAACTGACTGTGCCTTCTCTATGCGCAGAACCTCCGCTGGATGGCTCCAGAGGTGTTCACGCAGTGTACGCGCTACACCATCAAAGCCGACGTCTTCAGTTACGCTCTTTGTCTGTGGGAACTCCTCACCGGCGAGATTCCTTTCGCCCACCTTAAGCCAGGTAGGACAGGCCACACTGAATTTCCATGCCTTCCAAACTTCAGCGCATTTTTACAGATTCAAAAAGCATTTTCTTCCAAATGCATATTCTCAGTGGTGGAATGGAAAGGAGAAGAAGTAAGTAAACAACCTTAAATTGCTTTAAGGTGGTGCCCCATCCAGAAAACTTAATGACAATGGTAATTTTAGATACGGACACAAAGAAATGTAGGAATATTTTATTGAAGTTTAGGGCTTTGATTTATTTGTTTTTAATGAAACTAGCACTTAACTAGGGTCATGTGGGGCAAATAATGTTGACAGTACTATATTTATTTTTTGAGATTAAATTTTAGAAATTCCATATATGTGTATACACACACACACACACACAGTAGAAAAGTAGCAACATGAAAATAACTATGGGGACTTCAACTGCTTTTCCTAACAATTTTGTATGACACATATGGATACATCCTCAAAATCAAACTTTGAGTAATCCTCATTTCATTGATGATATACTTTATACTCTGCTAACACATAGAAAGTGGAGATGAGGAATTTAACCACATGTATATGTATAATAATTTATACATAATAATGTATACATAATTTATATTCAAGGTAAACTCTATTTGCCTCCATCTTTCAATTTTATCTGTGATGCTTTCATATATTGTCTCCCTATACTAGAAACTCTTTAAGGGCTTTGCATTCCTAGTGCCTATCATGTTTGAAAAGCAGATTGACAAATTAAATCATAAACAAATTCTTAAATGAATTATACTGTAACCTTCTAATGACCACCTTAAAATAATATATCAGTAGAATAAAGTCAAAAGGCAAAGAAGTTAAATATCCCTTTTAACAAGTTAAAATCCTAACAAAGATCATCATATTTATTAGTACTGTTGTATACAGAGCAAAAGCACACCACTTACTTTCTCTTCAAGGTATTTTCCCTAGTGTCCAACAGGGTGCCTTTCAGGAATTACATGCTCTATACATTGTTTTTTGAGTGCATTGATGATGTAGTTGTCCTAATCATTCCCTGTATACTTTTCATGATATTAAATGATGATATTAGCCCTTATTATAGTGTGGATGTGATAACTCTATTGTGAACTAAACTGACATTGCCATTTGTAAAATGTTCTGATGTGCTGCTCTCTATGTGTTAAGAGTTTGCATTCTGATAAGACTGTTGAATATATAACAAATCAGTTCTAACTCTAGAACACTATGGTATGTTTTCATGAGAGAGAGATAGCTACATCTTTATTCCCTATACCCTTTGTGTCAGTCCATTCAACTGAACCTGTTGATTTTACCTGCTAATATATCTTGGGAAATGACTACCACTTATCATAGCCACCACCTTCCTAGCTCAAGCCACCATCTCTTAATTAAACTATTGCAATAGTCTTTTTAAAAATCAAGCTTATTATCTGGTGCAGTGGCACACACCTGTTATCCCAGTATTTCGGGAGGTTGAGGTAAGAGGAATGTGAGTTCAAAGCCAGCCTCAGCAAAAGGGAGTCACTAAGCAACTCAGTGAGACCCTATCTCTAAATAAAATACAAAATAGGTCTGGGGATGTGGCTCAGTGGTAGAGTTCCCCTGAGTTCAATTCCTGGTAGAAAAGAAAGAAAAGAAGGAAGGAAGGAAGGAGAAATCAAGCTTATTGGAGTATAACTTATACACAGAAAAAATTATCTTTTTAGATGAACAGTTCAATGTGTTTTAAGAAATATGTACAATTACAATCAAGATAGAGAAATTTCCATTATTCTAAAATGATCCAGGTGCCTGGTTGAAGGCTATCCACTTCTCCCACCTCAGCCCCTGGCAACTGCTGATCTGATTTCTGTCCCTACCAATTAGCCTCTTCCAGAATGTATTATAAATTTAATTATATTAATTCACTTATCAGCAATTTATTCTTTTTCATTTAAATGTAATATCTCATGTTGCATGTGCCTGGATCTATTTATACATTCACAAGCTGATTGTTTGAGTTATTCTCATTTTGAGGCTACCATAATTAAAATTACTAAAATCATTCAGTCTTTGCATGGTGGTTTTCATTTCTCATGGATAAATACATGAGATGGATTGCTAGATTTTAAGATAAGAGTTTTTCCAAGTTGTGTATACCATTATGGATTCCACCAGTAGTCTGAGAATTTTTATTTAGCTAATAACATTGACAATTCTTTCATATGTTTGTTTGGTATCCATATCACTTATATACAGTGTTCATTCAAATTTTCTAATTATTTAGTTATAAATGAGTTATTAGATTCTACGTAGAAGTTCTTCAACTGCTATGTAGGTTGCAGGGATTTTCCTATAGTCAGTGGCTTGCTTTTTCAAGTACTTAGCAATGAATTTCAGAGAGCAAAAGTTTTTCATTTCAGTAAAGTTTATTACAACGTATTTTTAAATTATTTCTTTGTGTATATCCTTTCCAAAACATTCTAGCCTCACCCACGAACACAAAGACCTCCTACTATATGTTATATAAAAATTTTGTAGGTTTAATTTCTATATTTTTAAGATCTATTTTGCATTCTTTTTAATAATATGGCATGAACTTGTTATTCTTTTGTTTTTGTTTGTGTGTGTGTTTTTTAATGTGGATGCCCAATTGTTTTAGCATTATTTGTTGGGGGGAAATGTGCCCTTTTTTCCAATTAATTATTTTTGCACTTTTGTAAAAACATCAGTTGACTGTACATGTATACTGATTTCTGTCTGTTGTTTCATTGACCCATGTATTACACTTATGTAAATACCATACTATCTTGATAGCTTATACTAAGTCTTGAAATTAGGTAACAAAAAACCCCCAAATCTGCTCTTTTTTGATAAACCTGTTCTCATTATTTTGATTTATTCCATTTCCATGTAAATTTTAGAATCAGCTCATCTTTTTCTACCACACACACACACACACACACACAAATTGGAATTGTTACTAGTTGCTCTGAATTTATAAATCAATATGGGAAAAATTGACATTTTAAGTACATTGGGACTTCTGCTGACAAATATAGTAGACCTCTCCATTCATTTAATTCTTTAATTTCTCCCAATGCATTTTATACTTTTTATTACACAGGACTTTTGCCATTCTTAGATTTGGCTCTATAAATTATATGTTTCTTGATGCTATTATAAATGACATTTTAAAAAATTGTATGTCCAATGTTTCTTTTAGTATATGAAAATATATGTTTTAAAGCAATAACCTAGTACCCTATAAACTTACTAAATTCACTTATATCCATTCCATTAAGTTTTGTTTGTTTGTTTGTTTGGTACATTCTTTGGGATTTTTACATAGGTGATTATGTCATCTATAAATAAAGAAAATTTTGTTTCTCTCCAATCTGTGTGTTTTTAAAATTGTATCTTCTTACAAGCAAGGATCTTTAGTACAGTGTTGAATAGAATTTTTAAAATATCCACCTTGAACCTATTGGTTTTTCACAGTTTGTTCCATCACTACCCTGATCACTTGAACCACTAAAATAGCCTTTGACTACTCCACCTTTACTTATTCTTGTCCCTCTTTCCTGTTCAATCTCTACATTTCCACTGGAATGATATTTTAAAACATAAATTTGCTCATGTCCCCATTGCTTAAGATTATCTTGTGGCTTCTCATATTAGGATTGAAAGGCAAAATTCTTAATATCTCCTGAAAGAATCTACCTGATCCTCTTTTTCTGGCCTTACTCATGCAGTTTTATCCAGTGAAAATATGCCAGTCACTCCACCCTTGTTTTATTTCCTTCACTCTAGTCTTTTATATTCCAGTCTTCTTTCTGTGCTCTAGCTACAATAGCCTTCTTTTGCTGCTTTCAATATATTGCATTTTAATCTCACCTCTAGGCACTTCATAAGCTGTTTTCTCAATAAATATAATTAATGATGAGCATTGCCAATATTACTGTGAAGCTCAATGAAATGATGTTTTGTAAACTGAAAACTCTCATGACTGCAAGGTGAAAGATCCAAGGGGAAAATGTACTATAAGGTCAAGTTTTCCTATGATTATGAACTTATATGGCATTCTTATTCTCTAGGCAGCCCAGGTTTAAAAAGTCACCCTTGACTCTTCTGATCTCTTATTGTGTTCTTTTATTCTCTTCCTATCCTTTCTCCTTCTTTCTTTTTTCTCTTTTTTATTATTTTCTTTTCAGTCCGATTTTCTGTTATGCTTTGCTAATTCTAAAATTATTCACCCACTTATTGCCATTTCTACTGCTCCATCCTTTATTCACATGTAGAATACTGCCCAGTATCTTAAACATTATCCTCATCTTCGGTTTTCCTTATAATTTTTTTCTACCAATCACTAGTTCTAGTTATCTAAAAATTCTAATTTAATCATATGACTACCTTGACTTAAAAATCCCTAATGTTTTCAGTTGTTCTTAAGATAAAAACAAAATTTCTTAAAATAATCTACACAAATGGTCAAAAATATATGAAAATGTTCAGTATCATTAGCCATCAAGAAAATGCTATTCAAAATCACCCTAGGCTATCACTTGAATCCAGTTAGAATGAATATTATCAAAAATACAAAAATAACAATGGCTAATGAGGAAGTGGAGAAAAAAGAATTCTAATATACTGTCAATGGGAATGCAAATTAGTACAATCTTTATGCAAAACAATATGGACATTCCTCAGAACAGTAATAGTAGATCTACCATATGATCTAGCTAACCCACTTTTTGGGTCAGTATACATTAGAAATGAAATCAATATACCAAAGAAAGCACTCCCATGTTAATGTGTTAATTATGGCACTATTCACAGTATCTAAGATGTGATACCCATCAATGATAAATAGATAAGGGAAATGTAGTATATACACACAATGGAATATTATTCAATTGAAAAGAATGAAATCCTGTCATTTGCAGCAAAGTGGGTAGAACTAGAGGACATAAGCCAGAAATAAGCCAGACACAGGAAGACAAGGATCATATGTTCTCTCTTAAA